ACCACCCTCCCAGGGACTGAGGTGAGGCTAACAAACCTGTAGCTCCCCTGATCCTCCTGGAAACAGGAGTGACATTTGCTCTCTTCCATTCATCAGGAACCTCTCCCAATCACCATGATCTTTCAAAGATAATTTAGAGTGGTCTCATCATATCAGGCAGCTCCCTCAGCATTTGTGGGTGCAACCCATCAGGCACCACAGACTTATATATGTCCAGTTTGTTTAAGTGCTCCCTAACCTGGTCAGTTAAGACTTACCTTCACCAAAGGTAAGTCTTCCTTGCTCGACTTTCCCCCTGGTCTCAGGAGCATGAGATTCCTGAAGGCTGGTCTTACCAGTGAAGAAGGAGTCAAAAAACTTATTGGGTACCTCGGCTTTTTTCATGTCATTTGTTTCCATTCAGCAGCAGGCTTATGTTTTCCTTAGCCATCCTTTTACTCTTTATGTACTTGTAGAATCCTTTCTTGTTGCCCTTCAGGTCCCTTGCCAGACTCAACTCCAGGTCAGCCTTGGCTTTCCTAATGCCTATCAAGATCAAACAGCAACTCTATACACTTCTTGTGTTACCACTCCCTGCTTCTACCTCATATATGATTCCTTTTTATATCCGAGTTCAATAAGGAGCTCCTTGTTCACCCATGCAGGCCTCCTGCTGCCCCTGCTTGCTTTCCTACTTGTTAGGATGGAACTTTGTTGAGCTTGGACAAGGTGATCCTTGAATATCAATGAGCTCTCCTGGATCGCTCTTCTCTTCAGGGCTGTACCTCACAGGATTTTTCCAAGCAGGTATCTAAAGAGGTTGAAGTCTGCTCTCCTGAAGTCCAGGGTTGTGATCCTGCTTTTTGATGTGCTCCCTCCGCTAAACTCAGCTAAATAAGCCAATAACAACAATCATATTGTAGCTCCCCAAATTGCTCACGACTGCAAATTTTCTGAAGATTCCCAGATTAACCTCTACTAACATTCAGCCTTTGGTTTCTGCAATTCTTTATGTGAAAAGCAACAGACAACCACAAATTTTGGAAGTGACTTAGCCACTAAAACAAATTCCATTGGAGATAGCTGCAAACAGTTTGGGGTCCAGCAGCATAAGCCTAACATCCACTGTCCAAATCAGTCACCGAATTAATCTCTTTCTCTGAACAGAAAACTGAAATTCAAACAAAGACATTTTACTGCTTTCTCCTACCCTCCTACCCTCTTTTTTTAATACTCACAATGAGTATTAATATTAATACCGTACTTTTCTTATACCGTTAGCAAACCTGATATATCACAAACAATTGCACTGAAGTTCTTCCACGCTCAGGGACAGGCTACATATCCAGATATTTTGAAAGCCACGGAAGGGCACTGATTAAGAAAAGGCTTATATTTTTCTTTTCTCTGAACTAGTTTTTCCCAAAATCCACAATTAGAAGTTTATAGTCTCTTCGCTGTGGAAAGCAAAATACTTGAAGTAACCACCATAATCCTCTCGAGAAAGTAAAGCCTTTGGGACAAGAAGCTGCATTACTCTGGTGCTTTTTTGATAAACAAATACAAAATTCCATTACCATTAGCTGTCTGCAGACTTTTAAAGTTATACCTATTGATTCTGAACAGATGATGGCCAAGATACTTCACAGGAAAAAATAGCCCTAACAAATAATACCCCTCTGGTCTGTTTTCGTCTGTCTCTACCTGTCATTCTAAGAAAACTACTTAGGTAAGGGAAGGAGCAAAAAGTAAAACAAAGGCAGCAGAATTGAATAAAAGTCTTCCTTTCCCCAAAAAAGTATTTAAGTTACCTTTTCAGCATAATGAAGAAAAACTTTTCCCAAAACATGGATCAGATTATTTATAAATCCAGTTTATTATCCTTGTCTATCTCCACACTTGATTATGTCCAACTCTTTAGTTTCCTTCTTCCAAATCAAAATATACAGAAAAGTTCCTCCTGCATCAAGAAATCCATATCCTTGCCCTAATACCCAGTAGCTCTTCTGTTGCGCAGGCTTCCAATGTATCTTTAACTACCTCACAATGAATATGCTCTGATGTCCCACCTCTGAATGGAAAGGAACAGTTTTCTTAAGTTCCCTTAATGTCTAAGAAGAGAAATAAAATACATTTTATGTTCTACAATGCAAACTAAATTAACAAATTCCTAGCACCATTTTGTCTATATATCTATTTGTCTATATATATTTGCTCAAGGCACTCAGGATTTTTTTTTTTGCCCACATTACAAAAACAAATAGAAATCCCACCCTGATGTTCAAGCAATAATGAAAACATTTCATCCATCACTGGTTCAAAAATAAGCTAATATAAGTCTTCAGCTGAGAGAGGTGTCACATTAGTTAACTAAATAATCATGTAAAAATATTTCATTACTCTCATTCATATTTTCCAGCTCTATTCTTCAAAAATGCTTTTGCTTAAGCCCAGCAATAATCTGCCTCGTAACAAGAACACAGAAATAGTTGGCGTTTCCATTATCTTTAGAATAGACTCAAGTTACAGGGAAGAAATTAGCTTTTTTTTTCCCTCCACAATTCTTTATCATATAAGAATCCCCTCTAGTATTTTCATATTCAATACAACAGAATTGGCTAAAATACTGATTCCTTCAGCAGGTATCACCCTACAGTTGAAAGAAAGTAATCATCACTTGCCCCAGGAACCACCACCTGTATGATGTTTTCACTGACATAAGCCTTCTTCCATGAAAAGCTCGTATTAACAGCGGTAAAAGAGGCTTTATGTTTTTCAAAGTCCTAAGCAAAGACAGACCAACTTGATCTGTAACATCAGCAGAGAGGACTAGTCCGCTTTTTCTCTTAGGGAAAGTTAGCCAGTAGATCATCTTCTGAGTGTCTAGGCAATACTACCCACAAAAGAGTCTTGAACTGCAAAACTGAATGCCTTTTAGTTCAGCAATGTATTTCTTGAGCACATTCTCGAGTGTCTTCAGGTTACAGAATTATTAAAATACTCTGAACACACACACAGAGAACCAAGTACACTGGTGCTTCTTCCATGTTCTCAGCTGCCACAGAATATGGGGGTTGGGTTTTTGGGGTTGGCAGGGGAGGAGGACATTAGTTGCTTTTGGTTTGGCTTTTTTAAGACTACCCATAATATTTTAACATGGCCTCTTTCTAGGCTGATAATCTTTATTTAATCAGTAAACATTACCTTCTTTGTTACCTATCCAAGCCTTTAAATATAAGATTAAATATTAATGTATTAATTATAAGTCTAATTCTCTTTGTGGAAAGTGCACTTCATTCTGCTTGTTTCTGTATGACAAAGTTCGTATTTCTTTTTCAACTATTTCACCTTTACCTTTTTCACATTTCTAATATTTGACTAACCTGAAATTTCACTGAGGCAAACAGTGATTTGCTACATTATCTCAGGTTATAGAGTTTTACGATAAAGTCTGGAGAAGAGTAAAATATAATTCAAGGAAGAATTACAGGAAGAACCACTGAAAGGATTTAAGCAACAACTTACACAGTAGTTGTGAAATTTCCCAGGCTGTACTAAGCTTTGCACAAAGCTTCATCAAAGAAAAAAAAAAGAAAAATCAAGACTGAAATGGTGATGTATCATCAGTGGAAAAAAAAATAATTTGACACTCTCTACTTCCTCATGATATTGTGCCCAGGTGTGGCAGAATCAGCTCCATACCACAGTGCTATCATGACAATGGGAGAGTCTCTTTTGGACTATTCCACACATCGTCTCCACAGTAAATACAATTAAAACAGACAAAAGACAGAAAAGAATCAAAGAAACAAACAAACAAAAAACTCACTGCTGTCAAAACAGACTTTATAGTAACAAGAATATAATCTAGTACTGACGTTAAAAGAGGACTTCTTATTTCCTCCAAAGGCAGAAATATGAGCAAAAATGTCACAGAGCAGATTCTGTGTAAAGTGACTGACAGCAGTGCAGCCAGCTCTCAAATCCACGAGTGACCTTGACCTTTTAGCAACAAGCACTTTAAAAGGATAGTAGTTTTATCTGTGAAGTCTCTTCATGCAGAATTACCGTGGGCACTACACTAAACACAACACAGTGGTTTGTTCAGTTCATAAACACCATGAGTTTCTAATGCCTCACATTGCATTGCACACCTGATTGCTATATTTCAATGCAACACTACTAGACTATAAAAAGCTTCAGGCACAAATCCTATCACACATTTCAACAGCCCTCAGCATAGTGACAGCATTCAAACAAGGTAAATATTTAATCAAGCTAGTGCACTACTTTTGCAATGCAAGAAATTCTTGCATTACAAAATTTTACTCACTATCCAGCACTTTGACAGTAATGCACATTTTCAGTTATAAAACAAACATTTAAAGATCAAAATCTATCTTCACATACAAACACCTAATTCTTACCAACTTTGACACACATATGTATGGGCACTACTCTGCTCAAAAGTATGCAGTTTCTGAATCCATTTTTTCCTCCTAAGATACATGTAATAAAAATACAATTAAAGCTGCTTATGACATTTCTCTGTACTTAGCAAAGCAAATAAGGAATGAGGAGAACAAATTGTTCTCAGGTGCTAAAGAAGAGTAAGCTACCATTCATCTGAAACAAAATATATTATTAGCAAGTGGACTTATAATGACAGTTGTAATCTTTCAGAACCTTTTTCCTCCAAACCATTTTAAAAACATCCAGTTTTAAAATAAATCTTCATTAAAAGGTTCATGTATATTTCCCTCTCAATGCATAAAAGCGGATAAAACAAAACTATAACAGAAAGAGGCATTACCATTACCTAGCAAGAATACCTCTTCCCACTCAAAAAAAAAAGTATTATTTAAAAAGCATTTTAAGAATATCTTATGTTTGAATAACTTTCATGCTTGCATACTTTAAGGAAAACATTCAGACAAGCTTTGTGTTATTTAATTCAGAGAAAATAAAATATCTGTTGAATAATAGTGTCAATAAAAATACTTTCATTTATGTACACTTACTGCAATCTCTCTACAGGCCGACATGGATATCCCTGTACCTTCAATTTGCTTCAGTGCATACTCCTTTTCATCTTTTCTGTACACAAAAAAAAAAAAAAAAAAAAAAGAGAGGAATATTTTTAGCTCTGACTTATATTATACCAAGCAATACATGTATAATGGTTTATTTTAATTTGGTATGGATCACGAAGCTGAAAAGCCAATCTGTTTCTCTGCATAAATTACACTTAGATATTAAAAGTAGGTTTCCTTTTTACACAGACTTCAAAAATTCCAAACTCCCACGTAAAGAAACTTTGTTAACCTATATCCATTTCTCTCTGAAACCATATAGATAACTGCAAATATATCTACTGAGAATTTTGGAGGACACTTTTCCTAAAATTCCAGGATACTGTCTACTACCGCAAAAAAGCAGCACAGTTGTATCGTATCCCATGCCTGGAAAACTCACATAGAAATACCTAGGAACCGCAAGGATCTTACTTGATTTTTACGAGCCACTGTCAATCCACTTTTACTTCTGAAATACTATTATGTTTTAAACTAATTACACTTATTGAAAGAACATGAATTTCACTAGGCAAGTTTGTGTTTGCCAGAGCACAAGCACAGAACTCTCCTCAAGTGCTGGCTACCGGCAGACACCTACACTGTGTATGAAACTGTGTGCTCTGAAGCACAAAGCCGAAACACAGTATTACACATTTAAATAATCACACTTTAAAGTGATTTAGAGAGAAAACCAACAAAACAAGAAAATAAAGTAGTATCTCAAAGCCTCTGCAACAAAACATAACCAGCTTACTGCCTGTGGTAAGGTTTTTGCAAGATTCAGCTATCATCGACAGATGTTGATAAGCACCGATACCCACAGTGCTGATGCACTTCTGCGGACTCACCGGTTACAATTCAACAACCCACTAACACCCATCTAAATTCCCTACGGCATTTCTAGTAGGCTTCAGCTTCCCCTTCGTCCAGTCCCAAACCGTTTTGTTTTGCTATACTGAAAAATTAACTTGAATTCCTTTCAGCCTCTCCTGCATTTAACTAGAGGTCTGTGTCCTGCCCAGCTCCAGCCTCTTTATCATCCCCATCTCTGAAATTCATGGGATGAGAAGTGGCTGAGTGGAGGAATGTGAGGAGGAGATGAGACTGATGGAAATTATAACTGCCTACACCTATTAGTAAGTACAGGTGATCATTGTTCTCAGTAATTTTCAGTAGCAGCAGTAGTTAACATTGTGCTTGGCTTCCATTTTGTGCATTTTGCACTACATTTCTTGAAGCAAAAATATGACAAGAAAAATCCCAGATGTTTTCTGACTACACAGGAAAACTCAGTGCATTGCAAGTTTTGCAAAAAGTAAATCCACCTTTGAAGTAGAACTCACTCAGCAGCTCTCCAACTGGGAAACTTGAGTTCTGGTGCTGCACCTTAACTCAGAAATAGTTGTTATTCCTCTCTCAAACAAGCACTTACATGAAATCTTTGGAAATCTTTGAAAATATATTCCCTCCAAATTAAAAAACAGAAATTCGGTTGTAATGGAATTACAATCCGCTTTATTTCAAGCAGGGTGTTTCAATGTGTTTGGGATTTGGTGCAACACGGGTTTCTAAGGAAGCAAGACCAAGCATGTTAGGCTACAGCTTGAAGGGCCTCTTTCTCTAGATAAGTCTGGAGTAACAGAAGATCCTTCTGCAGCTGAAGCTAAAGGAATGGGTTACTTTGAGGTGACCTAAATTATTTTGGAACTGCCAAAGAGAGAAATACATTCTCGTTCTGCACAGATTTTCCGTGGAGAAGTGGGAAGGACAGCAACTTACAACATGCCTTGCAACTACCCCCAAAATACTCATCCATTTAGATACTTGGAAGCAAATACAACCAACACACATGACAAACGAACGTAACAAGATTGGACCCTCCTCTTCTAAAACAAAATTTTATTCCTCTATGCTAATTAAAATGAAATAGCCTCATATCACAGTATTTTAAACATGTAACTTCTGACTCTGTACTTTGGGGGGATGAGGGGGGAACACCCAAAACTTTTCAAGGGCAAAAGAAAGCCTAAGAAGTTACCATTACTAAAATTAGGCCAAATACTGCATTAACAGCTCATAAGAGCTGTTCACCAAGTACGCTTTCAGGAGTAACTTCAGAAGTGGACATGTCTGCTTCCTAACCAGAAGGATTCACCAGGATCTACTGACACGATAATTCAAATTCCTTCTTTGCTCCCCACTGAGCAGCCTTTTATTTTCATGAATTAGTCATTTACAAGAACTTGGCCCAAGATGCAGCACCAAGAAATGTGTAACTTTACAGGTAAGCTCATACCTTATCTCACAGAAATTGCTTTTGATTTCATTAATTAGTCCAAATTTTAAAGGGTAAGTAATAAATGCCCATCCGCTCTTATACACGGTTCTGCTATCTATGCAGAAGATTTACATAAACTGCAAAGTATTAACTCCATAACTCAGATCGCTTACCGAGACTGTGCAGACAAAATTATATTGTCCACAGAACCAAAACCAACTCTGGACATTTAAAACCGGTCATAGCTTTTAAACTATGGTCGTGTTTAAACCATACAGTACAGAACAATCCAGTTCAGACATATCAGCTTGAATCCCTAAACAACACAGTCACTACAGCACTGCAGCATACCCTTCTTTTGGCACGTCTACTTAACAGGGTACACCACCCTACTGATACAGCTACCCTTGAACTAGTTCTACAGATGCAAGCACTGCATTCAGTTACTCAGACCTTCACAGACTGAAGGTTGCTGCAGAGACCGGGCACACCGTTTGGCACACACCGCCTTCAACAGCATTGCTTAACACCACTGCCACTGTGAGCCTGTCACCACTTAACAGCCAGCCACTATATGTAGGACTTTAAGATACAAACGAGAAATGATGAAAGATGTTTAAAAAAAATAAACAACCCAACAACTTAAGATATTATAGCATGTGGGAAAAGAAGGCAATCTTACAGAGCTGCAAACAACATACTTCTAGGACACTGGGTTTTGTGAACATTGAGCAAAAATGGGGATAATGAAATACTTACCTAAAATAAACGGGTATCAAGGATAAAGAACTCCAAAGATACCATATTCTAGATCTCACAAATTTTTTTTTTTACCAACAGCTTCAGAATCATAAACATAGCCTCCTTTAAATACATAAATATCATTGACTTGCTTTGGCAGAAATGCAAGTCTATATGAACACTTTTCCAAAGTTAACTGTTCTTATTATGCAAACATAACAGCTGTTTAAAGCACTTTCCAAAAGATCTCCACCAACTGGTATTTTAAGTAGTAATATTTCCCATTTAATAGGAATCTCAAGATAATTTGAGAAAGAAAGAAATATATTTAAAATTTCAATACCAAGTCAGCCAATGCAATCTGATGAAATTCTGGTTACTCAACAAAATGGTATTGAAGGAAAAAAAAAAAAAAAAAAAGGGTATTTTATTAGCTATTTCCCCACTTTTAAGAATTCAGTAAATAATGTCAAATGGTATGTGTGATAGGTAAGTATACTGTTCAACTCCCTAAAGACCTGTGCTCTTACGAAACACTTGAAGCAGGGGGAAGTATTTCTACTTCATGTTGCATATACAGAAAAACTCTAGTGAACTTTGAACACATTTCAAGAACTTGTACAGAATTATACAACATGAAAGTTTTCATAAATCCTTTTCTGACAGATCCTATAGCAGTACATTTTTCACTAGAGCGGAGCAAGTGTGATTAAGTTTAAAAACCAAACCCAAACAACAACAAACTACACAGCTCTGGTATAAGACAAAAGGCACCCATGCTAGGGATAGCCAAGGAGAAGCAAGGTCTTTGTCCGTAATCATTTTCATCTGGTCCACAGAAATACGGGCTTGGGAGCAGGCCAACTAACTTGAAGGTCCTGCTGTGTGGGGGTTTGTCTGAGGGCCGGGAGCAAGTGGCATAGACCAAGGTTTAATCAAGCAGGTTCTATTAAACAGCTACCCCAGGCTAACAGTGGCAATGTGCTCCCTGAATCTGAGTGAAAAACATAGCAAAACATAACTGAAAAGGAACTCTATTCGTTAAGAGGCTGTGACTCAACAATTTTTATTAAAGCTTTTCAAAACTGATGCAGAAGAATTTGCCTGATAAAACAGGTACCAGGTCACACCTCCACGAGATTTCTCCAAGCTCCAAGTTCCCTTATCCGAAACTCAGGGCAAAGATTAAAACGAACATTGCTTCTAGTTCCAGAAGCTTTATAATTCATGCTATTTTAACAGGGATTAACTTTTTTACAAAGAATAGAACTGATGAGATACCCCTGTCCTCAAAACTTCCTGAGTCGGTATTTTAGATAGCCGTAGGCAGCATCCAAACACAAGGCTACTCACGTCTACCAGCAATAATTCAGAACATGTCTCTCTCATAAAAATCCATACCTGTGTAAGGCCATAACCTGGTCTTTGAGCTTAAGCTTTTCTCCCTCACCAAGAAATATCCCATTCTGCAAATCCTTAAGGTTAACGTTAACATTTTAATTTGTACAGTGCAAAAGAAAATTCTGTCCTCTTTCCCCACAAAACTGTACTCAGCTGGCTTATGTCCAATTGCAGTATTCAATGCAGAAAATGAAAATATGATTACTTCTTCTGGGTAACACTTTCAGTTTCCATTTTCCAAATGCGTTGGAAAAGAAGAAAAAGTACCAAATTCACTTTAGAAGGGTGCAGTTCAGAAGACTTAGAATAATTAAAACATTTCAAAGGAGTTAAACTGTCTTAATTACTGCAATTGTACTTCAGAGTGCTCCCATCATATGAAAAACTACTTTACAAACAAGCCAATGGAAAACTAGAAATGACTTGCCCAAGACCATAAGAAAAAAAATAGGAGGATTTGAAAATAGTGCATGGTTCAAACCATTGTTTTATCCCTATTATTCAAATTTTTCAACTTTTAATGACGATCCCTCTTGAATTCATAATTTAACATACATCCCGACTTCAGAATTCATTATCCACATCAAGGAACTGGCTTGAAA